AGGTCATTCCCCAATTTATACTGGAACCTATTAGATCTTTTCAAAGTATGTTCCACTTTCAGATTCATTTATGTTTCCAAAAGACACATTAATACTTACGAAAAAACCTGATAAATGTCTTCAGATCTTCCTTTACGCAATCGCAGTGTCCAAGCACCTGGATTTGCTTTCAGCTGAAAATACCCCTAAGGAAAAAAAGGAAAGACAGTCACCTGTTCTGTCAGCATTTCAGAATCTACCATGTGCATATACAAACATCAACTATCCAACATTTGGCGCTGAAACTAAGGCTAGTGACCATGACCTGCTGTCATACTAGCCCTGTATTACAGCAGTGATGCAACCAAGTATCACCAAGTATGTCCGTATTACTGCCTTTCAGTGCTCCATTTGTTTCTATCTGAATTTGAGCTGTATACAAAATCTCCACCGAGAACAGAAAGTAAGTGAGCAGCAATGAAATAAAATATTAAACTGGCCCTAAACTGAAAAGCTTCTTTGATACTTCAAAGTTTTGTATGGTACAAATTACAAATCAACACAGCTCCTTCCCAATTTAGAAACACTGCATACAGCTATCACTACCTGAAAGTGAGACAAAGCAAGCTTTGGAATATGTAGAATTATTAAAAGTTTCATCATGTTGAACATCATCTACTGTTAAGACTGTATTCAGTACTTATGTAAACTTCACAGTTTATGAAGTATTTAATTTCTTGTGATACAATATTTACAGAGAACAGCAGATACGTAACTGATCTTATGCATTAAAATTAATCTTTAAAAAACCAAAAAATTGAAAATAATCACTTTGGATGACCAGAGAAATTCTCAGGGGTAGATTTATCCCACAGAGGCTTACAGCACTTAACTGAAGTGTCTAAACCAAGAACCTTCTTTTGCCTGGATCAGTGTGTAACAAAAATAGTTATTTTAATCAAATGTGATTCATGCCTTATATTTGTCAGTAGAATCTCCATCTGAATATAACTACCTCCTACCATCTACTTAATGCAATTAGGCTCCCAGTTTAGGCACTTCAGGTAAGAGTCTAAAATTAGGTTATATCCAAACCTACATTGGATCAGAAGAGGAAGAGGGGAAAGCTCAGCAAATTAGAGACGCACATCATCTGTAGATGGTCTGAACTCCAGGATACTCCCGTTACTTTTAGCATTACTAAGCTTGTCACACAGAGAAGTGATTTAAAGAACAAGAAACTCAAAGAATTCTCATGAAGATTGTGCAATTGTAATGATTATTTTTTGTGCTTAATACTTACCAAGTTGGCCATCACAATGGTATCAACCATGACAGGATTACTCTTTGTGCCCAGAGTGAACTGTAACCCTCGAGGAGGTTGTCCAGTTGTCACATCAAAGCAATGTCCTTCAAGCAATATATATTCTAGTTCATATTCTGCTACAACTGTCCCTTTCATCTGTGGAAGGAACATTTCATCAATAAATTATATCATTTAACTGTGTGAGAAAAGCAACATAATACAGTTACAAACATGTGTGGGATTTACCTCACCTAAATTCAACTGCCAAAAACAGAAAAAAAAAAAAAGGAAAAAAAAAGGCCCTTCCAGAAGGAACTTCACCCAATTTTAAAATAGGTATCCAAACTAAAGAGGATGAATCACTCTTAAGGGACCTGTTGAGGTCTGAGGCATCTTGATTTTGGTAAGGTAAATATCAACCTTTATTTTCACAATACATCTTCCAAATACACAGCTTTTGTGGATCAAACACTCCCAATATTTTGCATGGGTTTAGTGACGGAAACAAGTCTAGTGATTTTGGAGCTGAGGGTTTAAAAATGTAACTTAAAAAATTGTGAATTAAAAAAGGGTCAAATATATTTTAACCTATATTAATAAACAGCAATATATTCAGATTTATTTGAAGATTTACCTAGGTTAAACCTATTATTACCAAAAATATTTACAAAATAAAGAGAAATAAGGGATTCTGTAAGCTAACTTTCCCAGAGCTTTATTTTTATGTAAAAACAATATTTCCTTAAACATTATAAAGCTCAGCACAACACAAGCTGCCTTTAATTGTGTTCTGCATTCTGATTTTTTTCTCTTTCACTGCTTTCTTTTAAGACTTGTTTTTCTAGAAGTTAAGAAAGAACGGGAAAAAAGGATTATGAAAATAAAAATGGCAGAATACTGCCCAAATAATCAAGTAAACACATAAAGCATTTCTGGAAAACAAGAGATTAAAATCCCACAAGATTTCAATTTTCCTCCTGAGGTAAAGGCCCAACACAAGTTTTATAACGTTTACAAACTGTAACTTACGTCCTGTAAATGAATGTTATCAAGATCACAGGAACTGTTCACTGCTTCAACCAACCAGCTTTCAGGAGTGATCATGTTTAGGGTCAGAAGGGGTGATTCTGGCAGTTCAGTGAATTTTGCCATAGGTTCAGAAGGAAGGCGCTTGTTGATCCCATAAGTTAATTCTGGTTCCAGAACAAAACGATAGAAGCTGTTGAAAAAGAAATGTTCAAAAAATACATTTACTGACACAAAGTTCCAAACATGAAGTTCTTCTAAAATACTTCAAAATATAGTGAATGTTTATAAATGAATGAAGTCTGGACCCACAGTAGCTCCCCATTTTTTTGCAATACCATCAAACAATACCTACAGAATCTCAAACGAGCCGGTAGGTGAACACAGGTATATTTGCTTCTGATATTTCCTTTTTGCTGTGAAAATAAGTAGCTCCCATTAACATTCTTAATGCCTGAGAAGGCAAATACCAAGAGGTGCATCTGAACATCTTGACTGTGAACTGCCTTGAATGCTTAGAATCTATATGACTAAATTAAGCTGCAAGACTAATCTCTGCTGGAAGAAAAGGGTATTTGGGAACAGCTCCTGACACTAGCAGCAGCAAAGACAGAAATCAGAGGAGAGGTCTCTATTCCTCTCCAATGCTTACTCCATTTATTGCACTGGTAAAAGATCCTTACAGCAACAAAATAATGACAATTTGCTTCCTTTCTCTACTGATACTCAACAAAATGCGAAGAATTATAACAGAGAAAGAAGAGTACTGAAGATGGAGAGAGTGAAAGCAACAAGCAGAGAAAGAAAAAAAAAGAAAGAAAAGAAAAATATATGCCATTACTATGAAAAGTTTCTCCTGTATCCATTAGGGGAAACACAATTCCTACAAAGTATTTGGTGTAGTATATGAATACATTTTATATGAAACAATTGCTGTAAGAAAAAAAATCACCTCTCTGTGGGGCAGATCACAGAATCGCAGGGACACGTCCCACCAGACCAGGTTGCTCAAAGCCCCATCCAACCTGGCCTTGAACACTTCCAGGGAGGGGCATCCACAATTTCTCTAAGTGATGCCAGAAAACTACTTCCTCCCATCTTTCCCAAGCACAGGGGAAGAACCAAGCACTAACACCTGCAAAGTGCAGACTATGATCTCTTTCTCTCATAATAAGATTATAGGCACAGTATCTGCCAAACGGATAGCAGTGCTTAAACCTCTCTCTTTGAGGGAAAGGAATCCTCTCTAGGGAGTTCACTTCAGTGTAAATGTCTATAACCGAACTAGTGAACCCTGGTCCTTACAGCCAGTTAAAAGAAACTTCAGTTTAAGGCAGACACTTTCAGGCTATAAAATTCTTAGTGATTATAATGAGATCTCAGGTGCAGACTGTACATTCACTCAGATGAATTTCAGTGTACTTAACCTGGAAAATTCATTATACAGTAAGTGGGCTATAAAAAGTGACTGAGTTAGGAACACAATCGCTCTCTTCAAGTTTTCACAGGCATGAAAGACCTTCCATTGATTTCTCTAACGATTGCTTAGGAGAGGTGCACCTGATGGACTACATCTGTTCCCTGTGATCCTATGCCCAACACCTCAGAATTAGAATTTTTCTCTAACAAATGCAAACTGCTTTGGCAACATTCAACTTGAATTCAAAGAAAATAACTAATGCAACAAAAGAATCCAGAAACACAATCTACTGTTTCCTTTTTAATGCTGCTACATCTGTTTTTTGCAAACCAAGTGGGACCCCATATTTGTAAGAAAAGCTACAAACTACTTACCTCTTCAGTGGCACTTCTGAGAGCTTAGATCTGCAGTTCAAAAACAACCTGAGTTTCATATTGATAACATCTTTGAGTACCTACAGAAAAAAAAAGAAATCTGTGTAAAAAATGGTTCATGGTAATTATCAAACTTGGAAAATAAGCCAAAGTTATCCTTGTGACATCCTGTAATTTCTCAAGCTTCAGTAGAAATCTCAAACTTTTTCAAGTTCTAAATGTATCTGTAATTAAGGGATGTTGTCGTATATCCTAAATAAAGATTTGACCTTTCCTAAAACCGCATGATTTAGCGCACGATATTCTTGATAGTTAAACTGTTAATGTTTTTCCCACAATACGTTTTTTTTAAAGAGCTGCCATCCCCATTTTCCAATGCTTAAGTAAATTATATTATCACTTCTCTTATATTGTGTTTTCTAGATTTAAGCACTTTAAAATTTGTAAGTACTTTTACTCAACAACAAATGTAAAACAATGACTTTTACTCTTACTAAAATTGTTGTATATAGTAAATTGTGGAATACAGTAAATATCAGAGCATTATTTTAATACTTAATTACTTAATTTTAAATGTCAAGCAGTAGATTAATGATGTGTTAAACTATTCATTCGATTTCAAAACTTTTCAGTACGTTACAATATTTCTACTTCTTTCTCAGTTTCTTCATCTGTTCATTTCTAAACCACTAATTTTTTGGATGATGTTATATAGGAACCATAATATTAGGATTGTATTTTTTTCTTATTTTTGAGAGCAATCTGTTTTGTTTAAAGTTAAAGTTATTGATTTCTTCAAAGCACTCTTTAAAACCTCTACCAAGTTATCTTCATTTCTGTGGTTTCTGATCCAAAGTGCGTATTTGAAAGCATAAAGCAGCTGTGTCTACCTTCATAGATATTATTAGAAAAACAAATAAGATATGAAAGCTAAGTAAAAATAATGATATCACTAAGAATGAAATCTAAAATTACTATAACAGCAAGTAAATTGGAAACAAAGCAAGACAATGGTCATTCTTAATTCTCTCTTTTATTATAACTATTTTTTCCTTTGCTCAGTTCAACCCATGGCTACACACTTTCTTTACTACAGAGCTACAACTTCACATAGTCGTAGGGACCTGTTCTGCTCCTAGTTTCTCATTCTCATCCTTTGTGTCACTTGAATACCATCACTGAAAAACTACTAAACAAAAAATAAAGACTAGGGAATGGCAGGATGATAATAAGTGAAGCAGCAGCAAATGAGAACATAAACAGCACCGAAAACATAACATTAGTTAAAGACAACCATAATCAAAATAGAGGTCATAGTGACTCAAGTATGTATCCATCATTCAGTACAAAACGCATTTTTAGCCAGTGCTAGCTGGTCTTATCGACTAAAAAATACCCAGAATTTTCAACATTAAAGAAAGCAATTTCTCAAATAAAGTTGTTGCATCCAAAATTATGTAAACCTGTATAGGATTTCATCTTCAAACAAGAGAAGAATAGAATCACAGAATGGTAGGAGTTGGAAGGGACCTTGAAAGATCATCCAGTCCAACCCCCCTGCCAGAGCAGGATCACCTAGACTAGGTCACACAGGAACATGTCCAGACAGGTTTTGAATGTCTCCAGAGAAGGAGACTGCACAACCTCTCTGGGCAGCCTGTTCCAGTGCTCTGTTACCTCATCCTCACAGTTAACAAGTTTTCCCTTATGTTTAGGTTGAACCTCCTGTGTTTTAGTTTGTGACCACTGCCCTTTGTTCTGTGGCTAAGTACAAGCAAGAACAGTCTGGTCCCACCCTCCTGACACCCGCCCTTTAGATATTTATAAACATTAATGAGATCCCCCTCAGTCTCCTCTTCTCCAGGCTAAACAGACCCAGCACTCTCAGCCTTTCCTCATATGGGAGAAGTTCCAGTCACCTCATCATCTTAGTGGCTCTATGCTGGACCCTCTCCAGTGGTTCCTTGTGCTTGAACTGGAGAGCCCAGAATTAGATGCAGTATTCCAGATGTGGCCTCACCAGGGCAGAACAGAGTGAGAGGAGAACCTCCTTCACCCTACCGGCCACACTTCTTAATGCACCCCAGGATGCCATTGGCCTTCTTCGCCATGAGGACACATTGCTGGCTCATGGTCAGCCTGCTGTCCACCAGGAGTCTCAGGTCCTTTTCCCCTGAGCTGCTCTCCAGCAGGTCAGCCCCCATCTTGCACTGACACACGAGGCTGTTCTTCCCCAGATGCAGTACCCTACACTTGCCGTTGTTTCTCCCCAACCAACCTTCCAGCTTGTCCAGGTTACACTGAATGGCAGCACAGCCTTCTGGTGTGTCAGCCACTCCTCCCAGCTTTGTATCATCAGCAAATTGACTGAGGGTACACTCTTCCCCATTATGCAGGTCACAGATGAGTATATTGAACAGAGCTGGACCCAGTACTGACCCCTGAAAAACACCATTAGACATGGGCCTCCAAGTAGACTTCGCCCTACTGACCACAACTCTCTTGAGTTCTGCCCTCCTACCATTAGTAAGAATGACACTTCAGCCATCAGCATCGATAGGTTGTTGTGTGCAGGATGAAATGATCTTGAGAAAAGACTGAGGTATCCTCCTGGTTCATCAGCTGGCCACTAAATTTAATATAGCACTGTAGCCAAAAGAATATTGCCATTCTTAAATAACATTTCAAATGAATTTAAATAGGAAGTGACACAAAGGACAAGAATGCATTATCTCTGTGTTTTCCAACAATGCTACTTCTGGAATACTGAATTCGGTCCTGTTATTTACAGCTTATGAAGACATCAAGAACCAAGACATTCAAGACAACACATGAAAATGGTTACAAGATTAGAAAGGCTTTTTCTATAGCAGGGTATTTAAAGAGTTCAGTCTCTTTACTTTCATTAAGAAAATGCAAAGAAGAGCATGGAAATTTTGTTCAGGGAGTATTTAAAACTGTAACAAATGGCTGAATTACTTCAATCTAAGAGGCTTGAATATTAAGTCCAAGCTTTATTTCACATGTACAGCCACTTTGCAAAATGCTTACTGTAAGTTACCACAACTCATCTGAAAAGCTTTAACTCACTAAACCATGATTATTTAACCAATCTCTTGGAATTGTGAGTGAACATCATGATAATACAAAGCAGCTACACTGAAAACAAACTCCTATCACAAAATTTTCAACAGAACTGGCAAAATGATGAGAAGATGAATGCTTACAGCATGGAGCTAAAATTTCTGCAACTCCAAATCTGAATTTAACAGTCAGATTAATTAGCCACTGGAGGAGCTCACTAGGAGCTGTGATCTTACACAACTGCTTAATAATGTTTAAATTAGGACCAGATTAAAAAGAATGATTTCTACTTCAAATTCTAATTGATAAAAAGATGTCCTATGAACTATTTTATATAGGAAGCCAGATTAGATTATCAAAAGGGGCTCCTTCAGAGATTTCTCCTCATTTTAGGGATAGAGTAAGAGTTTCTCACTGAAGACAGAATGAAGAAAAAAAAATGGCAAAAGATAACTGAGAAGAAAAAAGAAAAGACTTGATTTTTCTCTCCCCATTTTTAAGCTCCTGGCAAGAATCACATGCTTTGCTGTGGTACACAGATTTTGCACCATGAATAGCTACCATCCCAATATACTGGGCACTAATCCAGTTATGTTATACAAAAAAAAGATTCTTTACATATAAATATATCCCAGTACTTAAAGTTTACAGTATTGAAGTCACCTGTGCATAGCAAGGTAATCAGAAAGGCACTCATTTAGGAACTTTGAGTTTGATTTGCTGTATATGACACATGTTTTGTCTCTACACCAGGAGGAGGTTGCTTTCCAGATGACTAGACATATCTTATATTAAAAAAAAAATCAGATTATTTTGTTTTGCATCTAAAAATATTTAAACATTGAAAATAAGTTTTATCCAGATTAAAATATTTCTGATTTGTTTAGTTGCCACAGAGTTTCAATATTCTCTCCTAAGGGCTGGCTTCTTGAATAAGACTATAGCTCCTTTAGGAGCAGGATTCAGTAGGATCTGTGATGGCTGAATAGCTTGGTACACCATGGGAGTCATTTCCCTGGGCATGCATTAGGGAAGATATTGCTCATTAGGGAGCCTGTTGCACTAGGAGGAATGGAAGCTTCTATTCTGAGTTAAAAGGTCCTTGATGCAACTTATCACAATATGAACTTCTGGCTGAATGGAGAGAGTTTTCAGCCAATTCCAAAAATTAAAATACTTTCATGTGGCTTTCATCAAGGTTTCATATTTACCAAGAAAGATGAAATGAAAGATACTTTGCTTCACTATTATGTATTAAGATCTTCAGCATTTGATACAAAAGGCATAGAAGAGTAGAAAATGGGAGGGGGGAAAGCAGTGTATGAAACTTTCATAATTACTGCAGGGAAAAAGATAAAACAAGATGCAGCAAAATTCAAGTTACAGGCTTTAGAATTGTAACAGCTCATAAAGAGAAGACAAAATTTACATCTTTATGGGAAACTATAAAGGAACTTGAGGTGGAGTGATATTCTTCAGCTAGTGAAAAAAGAAAATAATTTTAGGAGCCATGTTCTTAGGACAGTCTCTCTTTAGATGATCAATAGCTAAGCACAATGGAAGACTTTTAGATATACTTGGTAGCATTAATTACCTGAGAAATACCCTTCCAAGAGCTGAAAGGTTTATAACCCAATCTTCTTATGATGATATGACGAGTCAGATTTAAGAAAAACTAAGGTGATTTGGTTTAATGGAAAGAAGCATATGCCTCTTAAGATTTTGAGATGGGAGATCCTTTCCCTCTGTATTATGGAGACAATCTCCTCTCTTCCTTCTATTGAATATAAAGAGCATTTATGGACTCATTTTTAAGAGGACTGGTTCATGGGGCATCTGAATTTTAATTGCAAATAAGGTACTTACAGTGATGAATTTGATCATCCCCAGCTTCTTAATATGAATTTAGATAAACACACATATTTTAAAAAATACCTAAATTTTGTTTACCCCTTTACCACACTGTGCATGGAAATAAAATTAAACTACAAATATGCAGATTAAAAGAAATGACCACAATCTTACAATCAATAAATGAACCATCTTCTGTGCTTCTCTTGTCAATGGATCCACAATAGCAATAACATCATAGAATGGTTCATTCTGTTGGGGACCGACTTTTACTACGCTGTTAAAAAAGACAATAAATAAGCGTCGTGAAAACTCTAAACTGAATTTGTGGAAATATCAAACATTTTTAGGCACAAATTTGTAATATCAGAGCCACTTTAGATTTTACTGCTTGTGCAGTCATTTCCCTCATTTCAAGCAGTAATCATTATTGCTCCCTGTGATATCACTAGAAAAGCTAAATGTGAAGAGCAATTAAAATGTAGCATTAATCTACATAGTTCCATACTGGTTACTGATTAAATACATGCTCCATTACAGAATAAATAAAAGGAAAACACACAGCAAACTTTTTAAAATGGCCTTTTTATCACTGGTTTACACTCTCCTTTACCGATATCTAGAATCATCAGATTTGACAAGTGCTGGCAGTAACACAATTTTAAAATAACAATGAGAAAAATGGCAACTGAGAAGTGTGAAACTTGATAGAACAAATTAGCTTTATACAGTTCAGAAAATAATTTAGTTTTATAAACCTGATTAGACTAAGTCAAGGAGACCCTAGTTAAAGTACTCTGGATCTAGAGGAAGAAAGTGCTAGTAAGCCTTAAAACTTAAAGAAAAAAATAAAATAATAATTTTAAAATGTGCTGTAAACAAACAAAATGGACTATCTGAATTTGTTTTCCACTAAAAATATACCTAGAAATGTCAGTATCATTAGTGAGTCAAACTCCTTCCAATATGGTAGTAGCACAGTGGAAAAGGTGCTAGCCACTTAAAACAGGCTACTGATTTCACTCCTTGTCTTTCAACAAGTAGTAGGGCCAGCACATCAGCACACTAGAGCAGCTTTACCAATAAAAATGAGTGAGGATTTTGAAAGAGCATTTCAAAAATTTCATTTTTATCATGCTTCTTGTGCTATTATATGTCCTTTTTATAAGTGTCTGCTCCAGAAAGCTTGCCTCAGCTAAGCTTAAATTAAAACCAGCTACTGTTAATCTTTCAGTACACAGAAGACAAATACTGTGTTCAGTTTGGGGCCCCTCACTATAAGAAGGACATTGAGGCACTGGAGCATGTCCAGAGAAGGGCAATGAAGTTGGTGAGGGGTCTGGAGCACAAGTGTTAGGAGGAGCAGCTGAGGAGCTGGGGTGGTTTAGTCTGGAGAAGAGTGAGGGGAGACCTTATTGCCCTCTACAACTCCCTGAAAGGAGGTTGCAGTGAGGTGGGGGTCAGCTTCTTCCCCCAAGTAACAAGTGATAGGACAAGAGGAAATTACTTCAAGTTGCACCAGGGGAAGTTTAGTTTAGATACTAGGAAGAATTTTTCCACTGAAAGGGTTATCAGGCATGGCAATGGGCTGCTCAGGGAAGTGGTGGAGTCACCATTCCTGGAGGTATTTAAAAGACAGGTAGATGAGGAACTTAGAGACATGGTTTAGTGGTGGACAGGTTATGATTAGACTCGATCTTTAAGGTCTTTTCCAACCAAATGATTCTATGATTCTAAGACAGGAGTCACAGATGCACATATCGGTATTTCAGGTCTCATTCCTTAACAGTGACAACAAAAGACAATGCTTGTGGCGTATTTTGATCCTAGATTTAGAAAGTGAAACACAAGGACCCAACATACAAGTAAATACACTAATGACATTAATATGAGCTTGCCCAGTATATATCTATTAGCTGAAGATAGTCTGCTCAGTTTTTCTTAAGTAATTTAGTGCCAACGAGCTCCATCAGTTTGCATCTGAATGTAATCTGGCTGTATTTTAGAGTCTAATCTAATTGTATTTTAGAGTCAGGCTCAGCACAGGAGCTATGGTCAAGAGTCAGACTGCTAATCTGCAAACTGTTATATAGTATGACCATAAGTATATTAGCCTTGACAATAGTACTCAGGATTCAAAACCAGAAAAAGCTGTGCTGGAGTTTTCTGCATGAATGAAAATCAGTGAGGGCTTCTTCTAGCTCTAATCTATGAAACTGCTTCCAATATTTTAGTAAATGGATGGACTCCAGATCACCACTTCTGTTCACACCAATTTTAATCACTCTATTTTTCAGTAAAGGATAAGGCTGGAAAATCATTAGGTTTTACTATTTAATTTATTAAGCGAGAAGTAAAGATGCATTACATTAGGGGAGGTGAACACGTTCATACAACCACACAACCAACGTCTTTTAAAACTGGAATGCTTACTCAAGTTTTCAAAAACCTTATGTAGTAATCAGTACATTCTGTTGTTAATATGAAAGTACTATAAGTGCATTATCGTGGCAGACTGAACTTACCTGTACTGTTCTTTGAGTAATTCAGCATCTTGTCTTATCTCTGTTTTAGGCAAAGATGACAGTAGGGCATCTATTTTCATAATCAAATCACTGCCACTGTATTGAATAAGGCACATATAATTTGGTTTTCATTAAAAAAAGAGTAAAATGTTCACATTTTAATGTATGTCTGCCTACATAAGGGGTATTTTAAAGCCCACATCCTGAACTCTTTAAAAAGATTACCACCTCCAAATCTGTAGCTTTGAGTAAAGCCTTTAGCATGACAATGCCCAAGAACCACTACTGCCTCAGAGCTTGTGAACTGTACACTTCTTAAAATTAAGCAATGCAGAATTAGCAGAATAAGCATTCAGCCACACAGTTTGCATAGTACCTTTAAAGTTCTTTATTCCTTCCACCCCCCCATTTTTTTTCCTTCATGGCAATATCTAGGAACAGACATAAATGAAAAAGTTTCAAGTTTACTTGGCCACATCTTTTTACTTTTTAAAAATTTCTTACAGAAATGGCTTTAGAAACCTTAGTAGTTCTATTTCAGTGTCACTGAGTCTTAATACCTGATTAAATACATTTTGCCTCTCACTACTTATCTCCTTGATCGTGCTACCTCTTCTTGATTTAATTTTTCTGGCAGTTAATCTTTTAGTTATGCCAGTCCTTCCAGATAACAGAAATTATACTCAAACACAGGAATTTGACAGATATTGTAAAAATAATAGAATTTTGCTCTGTTCTTTGTGCACAAACTGAATTCTTAAATTAAAAGCTGGCTAGAACTCCTTTTTACACTTCTTCAATTAACACACGTGTGAATGTTGTCTAGCAGGGTGTCAGAGGATCACATCTGTCCACACCTTTACAGGCTCCTTTTCTAATGTGCACTATCTTATCTCAAATATCAGTACTCATATGTTTTAAGATGCAGTGGATTTCATTAAGCTTATTATTATGCTTGATAATTGCTCTTAGGTAAACAAAAGCTAGTAGGAATTGTTTAGTTGTCTGTACTTGTCTCTTGGTTGTAGGTACAGTGAAAGTAAATAAATATTTGGAGTAATTTAGCAGAGCTGCACATGTGATATGAGGAAAGTTGGAGAGGATGTGACTCAGTGTCCTGGTTTGAGCTAAATAGAACTAATTTTCTATTTAGTGATTTTACTTTTCAGCTCAGTCTGTTAAGTGACTGAACTTGCTGAAAACTAGCAGCATGCTTTTCCCAAACAGCGCTGCTAGAAGATATGCTCAAGGTCGTTGTCTCATCATGGGTGCTGTGTCTGCGCCTACGGGGGGGGGAAGTGGACCCAAAACAGACCAACTAGGTATTCCATCCCACAGACGTCACACTCGGTATAAAAACCAAGAGCTCACGAGGGTCTCGGTTCCCTTTTCACCCTTCTTCCATCTTGGAGCCCTTCCATCTCGACCCTTCCGTCCGCCTCGATCCTGCAGAGGCCGAGGCCTGAGCGGAATCCTGCTAGTTCATCTGCCGCTGATCCTGATTTGTGTGTCCTGCATCCTGTTCCCACCTGCTGCTGAGTTTGGTCTGGGACTTTTCCAGTGCCCGGCTCTGTAGAGCCTCTGGTGACGTATTCGTCATTGGGGGGAGGGTGGGGGGAGGATTTTATATTGGTTTTGTATATATTTGTACATATTTGTATATATTTCATTATTTTCCTATTTACAATATTATCCTGTAGTATTAGTATTATTGTTTCGTTAAATCTGTTAGTTTATTTTCCAGCCCGTAAAGTCTCTCTCCCTTATTCTCTTTTCTCTTCCCTTCTGGGGAGGGGAGAGGGGTTAATAGAGAACATCTGTCCAGGATTTAGTGGCTGACCCAGCCCTAAACCACAACGCTCAGGATAAGCAGTGATTTCTTATGCCTTACCCTCATAACACATATGACTGACGATTAAAGGGTGCATGTCTCTTAAATAACACAGGGTGCCTTTCGGTTTTTTCCTGCTCTGTACTGTAACAGTGTGGTACCAAAGAGGTTGTCAGCAGCAGTTGATGCATGCAGTTGAAAACCAGTATATACAGTTTATATATATATATGTAATGGAAAACTATGTTAAATAGCATAATTAGTCACACATTAAGGTGATACAAAGTTTAGCATATGTGTCATTTCTTCTAGAAAATAGGACAAGTGTTTTGAGTAGGTAAGTATACTAAGTCTGTCAGGGAAATGCTAAAAGGAAATGAGGAACAGTTAAACCTGTCTACATAAAAGTACTCAGATGCTAAGTAAGAAGATAGCAAATATATACCATGCAAACAGTAAACTGCTTGACTAAGTGCTTATAGAGTGTGTGTGTGTATATATATGAGTATATAGTATGAAGGGTATCATGACTGTATATTTGAACCTTTGTTCATATTTCCCATGCAAAAGGATTATTAGTCACAGGCAATAAACAATGCAGTACATCATAAGGCCTCAAAATACAAAATAATTTTACCTTTTACTGCTGTTTCCCATCTCTTTGACAATAGCTTTAATCTTCTCTGCTGAGGTACTGTATGTTATTTTTTCCAATAAATTAAAGTCTTCCGCATAGAATAAAGGACCCAGTATCTGATAGAGGAAATATATTACTAAGCATAGAATGTCCCAGTAATGTTTCTTCTGGAAGCAAAAATACACTAATATTTTAAATGAATGCACAATGTTCAATGTGCAACCCCCAACCCCATATACATCAATATTATTAACTATATAGTACTAAAAAGTATAGTAACGATGCAGGATTACAGTTGCGTAATTACAGTTAATTATCAATCACAAACTGAATGGTGCAATGGAACTATCCATTATATTTTTCATTACACATACCTACGTAAAGGAGTGTGCTATTGAGAAACAGCAAATTTAAGTTTAAGAAAAAGCTCTGTTAGGTACATTATTTTAAACTGAAATTTAGTATCTGCCTATTACACTCTTCAGTTGTTTAATTCTGTGAACATAATCTTAACTTCACAAGGCTTCTCAGATGCAGCAGGATAGACAGGAAGAAATGAGCAAAGGGTAAGTAATACAGAATATCCAGAGACAAGAAACAGAACTATTACTTCTTTTTTTTTTGGCATCAGAAGGAAAAAGAAGGTGCCTTGGAGTCCCAGAAAACAGCTTTGAGGATGTTGTTGGGATTTCCTACTCAAAGTCCACCAGGCTAAACTGACTCAAGTCAACTTCAAGAGTCTATAGGGCTCCAAGGATGCGGAATGTCACAATGTAAGTTTTTTGCTGAATGCCTCTCTCCCAAAATTCAACTACTTTCGAGAAATGAGAGGTTATCTAACAAAATTCCACTTCTGAATTTTTTATTAATATGCATGAGATAGAGAAAACCATAGAGTGATTATGAAATACCATGCAATTTCTGTAGAAGATGTAATTAGAAAACAAAATATTTGCTCATAAAAACTAAATTCCAGTGCTGAAATAGCAAGGATAGAAATTAAAGATATCCCATGTCTTTTTTAAAAGTAATCTTATAAAGTGAAAACACAATTTCAGACAGATCAATATACATTATCAAATGAATTCAAGTATTTTTAAGGAATTTATTTCCTCAAAACTTAAAACATGACATTATTTGAGCTTTTTTAGGCATGGAAATCAGTAATAGCTGTTCATAAAATTACACTGCATGTAATGAGGGGTTGACACCAAATAGGCAACACCACTCTTTTGTGCTTCACCAACAAAAACGCTTTCTGTGGGTTCCCTAGCAGTATTTCAGTTATATCTCAGAAGCCATTTCGGATGCACAAGAGTAACTAAGAATACAATTTAACGAGTGTTTGCAGTAACGAGATGCCAATATAGTATCTCTTTTTTTTCTAATGGTGGAGCAATAAATAGAAACTAGAAAAAGGTTAAATCAAAGAGTACTTTGTATAAATTGTATTTGTGATGTAAGGTACCGACAGTCATTAGCAAGTGCTAAATATTGAACCTAATATTGTATTTTTAAATCACAGTTAATCTATAGCCACACTGTAATAAAGTCTATTGGCTTCGGAATATACATACAAAAAACTGAACCAACAAAACTGCTATACTTTTATTTGAACATTAAGAATTAAGACTATAATACAACTTAATATTTTTAAACAATTTAGGAGTTTAGAGTATGAAATACTATGCTATTCAATGTAATTGATTTTTTATTATATATGCAGTAGTTTATAGTATCCCAAATATGTAAAACAGGTAACTTCATGATCAAAATTTATTCTCATATATCATTAATAGTAGATCAAATATTAACCTATTTAGAGAATTTTGTCAGATTAACTCTTAAAAATCACAGAATCACAGAATATTAGGAGTTGGAAGGGACCTCATCTAGTCCAACCTCTCTGTCAGAGCAGGATCACCTAGACTAGGTCACACAGGAATGACCTGTGGGAATGACATTCATATCATTCTCTAACAATAAGCTGAATAAGTGGGAAATTGATAAAAAGCATTTTCTTTAGCTTGCAAGTGAAATTCCAGGAAGTAAAAAATACCTACAATAGTACTGAGAGATTACTCAGTTTCTTTCTTACCCTGCCATTGCTCACGACAGCCATTTGCCCAGGAAGCAGCTTAAGAACCTCCTGGCAGAACATCTGGTGGGTTTTAATTAAATCCACTCCTAAAGTGTTGTACTTCTTCTCAAAAGTATCATCATCCATTCCCTAAAGCAAAGGTAAAGCATGAGATGGTGGAATGATTCAGCAAAAATAAATAAACAGCTGAAATAAAGATTTTCTTCGAGTTATGTGGTAATCAGAAATCAAAATAAAACAATAACCTCAACTTCAACGCAAGTACACGACTGTTGGTGTGGAGCCACTGTCTCCCAACCAGCTAGTGTGCAGTTTTTACCCTTCAGCAACTGTGAATAACCAGGAGAGGAAAGCTGAACCTGAGGTTAAGCACCTTTTCTACAGCCCAGCACACAGCTGCATGAAAAATAACATTCTCTGTTAACAACTGAATGGTATTCTCACTTAGAGGAAAAAAGTATTCAAAAAATCCATACCACACTAAACACCTAGCAGTCATTTCAATGTGGTCATTGGATACAGCTTAAAAATGTTTTAGGGAAGCCAACATAATCCAGTAAGACACATAAATCAATGTTCAAAGTGGGGAAAAAAACATTGGAACTTTGCCGTGCTTCCAATGGCACTGTGCCTCACCTGTAAAAATTACCCTGCTATGTTAAACTCTATTGATAGGTATTTCTTCATTAGAAATATACAGACCAAGCAAATAGATTAATTCTGCTACAATTAATATAACAGAAAAAATCAGTAACATGCATACACTGCTTAATTAGCTACCTTTCTGTCTCTCAAAATTTATTAGACAATTAAATAAGAGCATGACCCAAACCAGCTAATTAATTTTCCAGTATGGTGCCAGTGTCTCTTAGGCTTCCAAATCTTCCTATTTAAAAATAGTACAATTTACAGCTCCTTCTGAAACAAAACCTGTAGTTTGCAGCTGTTATTTGATAACTCAGCTACCCTCTACATGTCAACTTTGAAAATAGCAACATTTCTATTTTAAACTAATGAATTTTCATAGAATCACACCAGAAAATATTGACCAGAAGTATAAGATACTTGTTAACCTCAACTGCTTCAGTCTGTGTCTATTACTGCTCACAATCACAACAGCAAGGTAAAAACACTTACTTCTGAAGTCCTAATTCTTGACAAATATTAATGCTGTAATTTTAGTTAAGAGAGTGCTATAAAAAACTTCCCAATCAACAACTAAAAATTAAACTATTTTGGTCTCAATAATCCAGTAACTCTACTGTGTATTTTTTGGTACTTTCACATTTTCTTCCTTCACTGTAAATAAATTCTCTATTCTTCCATCACATAAAAGTTGTCAAAAATCCAAATCTGCTTGAGCAGACTTTATAAGGGAAACTGTATAAGGGTTATAAACTTCATAGCATTTGGTCAAACACTGTTACTTTCAACTTGTCCTTACAATCAAATATAGTAAGAATGAAAAAGTAATCTAATTTCTTTCACACTCACTGGGACCAGGAATTTAACAATTTTAGTTCCTGCAGCAAGGGATTTTGCTGTCTCTTCCTTACTGAGTTTACTTAGGAAACTTTTTAAGTTGCTGTTGTTTTGGGTTAGAAAAGCAGCCAAAATTCCTCTTGCAATGGCTGTGTTATCTTCCTTTATTTTTGATGAAGGATTGCTCAAAATCCCAAGTCGTGTATGACTGCTTGTTTTCTGCAGAGAAAAATACAGAATAATACACAACTTTACAGTTCCATCTGCTGTTACCAAATGTATTCATATCTATTGTAACTCTCTGAAATACCTTTAAGTATTTAATTTTTTACAGCTATTTGTCTTTAGAAAACATACATCAATGCCTAATTCAGAACTTCGATTAGGAGTAAAAAAGCTGTTAGTAAGGACTTACCTATTCTGTAACACATTTTAAATAGAAGATTATTTTTTTTAATAGAACAATTGCCTTTGAGCATTCTGCAGAAGTGTATTTTTAGCAAAGAACATACACAAGTGTTCATTTACAGACTTCAGAACTGGTTTTGTACATGTATTTCTGTTTATCAAAAACTATCAAACTAATCATAAAATAAATACAAGAAAATTTATCCACTTATCACTTCAATCTAGAGAGAGTGATGATTCTAAGATAGTATCAAATACCATCACTAACTGAAGAAATGGTAAATGGCCTCTATTGCAGTAAAGAACACAAAAATAAGGAATGAAATCACTGGTATTCAACATATTTAAACAGCTAATTGTAAACTGCAGTTCTTGAGAAAAGTTTTGTTAAAACACTTATCTGAGAATCTTGAAAACATGTATTTTAAACTTCCTTAGAAGCATGCTCTTGCTGGAAAGAAGACAGGTGGCATATTAGGCTATGTTAGGAGACACATGACAAGCCAACCAAGGGAAGATCTCATTCTCCTCTACTCCATATTTGTGAATCTTTATACTCAGTATTTGTGCTGTGCCTGGTTTTGGTTCTCTCAGTGCCATAAGGATGTTGGGATGCTGGAGAAGCTTCAGCAAAGGGCTACCAAGATGGTCAGAGGCCTGAGAAGGCATTGAAGAAGCTGGACTTGCTCAGTGTGGCAAAGAGGAGGCTACAGAGAACCCTTGTGGCATCCATCAGCTACTGAAGGAGGAGTGGAAAAACATGACAGGGCCAAGCTCTTCTTCACAGAATCACAGAATGTTAGAAGTTGGAAGGGACCTTGAAAGATCATCCAGTCGAACCCCCCTGCCAGAGCAGGATCACCTAGACTAGGTCACACAGGAGCGTGTCCAGGTGGGTCTTGAATGTCTCCAGAGAAGGAGACTCCACAACCTCTCTGGGCAGCCTGGTCCAGTGCTCTGTCACCCTCACAGTGAAAAAGTTCTTCCTTATGTTCACATGGAACCTTCCTATGCTCCAGCTTGCTCCCATTGCCCCTTGTCCTATCATTTGACATCAGGGAGAAGAGCCTGGCTCCTTCCTCCTGACACTTGCCCTTTACAAATTATAAACATGAATGAGGTCACCCCTCAGTCTCCTCTTTTCCAAGCTAAAGAGACCCAGCTCCCTCAGCCACTCCTTATAAGGGAGATGCTCCACTCCCTCAATCATCTTTGTGGCTCTGTGCTGGACTCTTTCAAGCAACTCTCTATCCTTCTTGAACTGAGGGGCCCAGAACTGAACACAATATTCCAGATGTGGTCTCACCAGGGCAGAGTAGAGGGGGAGGAGAACCTCTCTCAACCTACTCACCACACCTCTTCTGATACACCCCAGGATGCCATTGGCCTTCTTGGCCACAAGGGCACATTGCTGGCTCAGAAGTGGCAAAGAGTATTCTTGGTAGTGGCAAAGAGTATAACAAGGTATAATAGTCACAAACTTTGGCCTGGCAGGAAAAAATTACACTAGGAAGGCAGTGCAACACCAGAGCAAATTGTCAAGGTGGGGGACAGAGTGGTGTCCTTGGAGATTTTCGGGACTCCTTCACACAAACCTACGGCTGACCTGATCTAATGATGGCAACCTTTTATCGCACAGTCATAGTTTGTCCTAACGTCATAGTTTGTCTCCTGCATCAGGAGTTCATGAATCAAATGACCAGTTACATGTCCATAAGATGCCAGTGCTGCAGGAGAGTAGAGCAAAATGAAAGCACAGTCTCACAAGTCTGCACCTGACCCACAACAAAACATTGTTATACCTTTATTTAAGAGTAAAATTCTTGAATGTGTACAGCGTTGTTAAGAACGTATTGACAATAATTATTTTGATTAAAAACAGCTAGAAACTCACCAGGTGTTTCAAGGCATTAGAAAGCAGTCGTCTCCCAGATGGCTTGTCAAAATCAGCAATAATCCAGATAGTAACAGCATATAATGCATCTTCATCTGAAAATTAAAGATGATCCTGCTTTACATTCTGAAGAATCTCCCAATGAGTAACGAATAACGAATTAATTCTGTTTGAGATGTCGAAGTTCATCTGTATGTCTGACTGCTAACTTCAAACATAAGACTAATCTTTGCCACATCAGAATCTTTTGCCCTCTGAATGGGAACAAAATTATTAGGGAGTACTTTATCATGTTAATACAAGAGTCACTAAAATAGCTGATCTGTTGCTGTACCACTGAAGCACGATGGCCCTAAATAATAAGCTAGCTCCAATAAACAAGACTTTCCTTTCCAAAGACTCCTTGTGAACATTTGACGAAGGCTGACCATACAGCCAGACATGTAAAGAATTATGTAGTTACAAGAATGCACAAGTAACGCCATTCACTTTCCCCAGTAGCAAAAAAAAATCCACTCTTTCAACTAAAAGCAGAGTAAAATTTACTATTTCTGGACACAAACAGGAATATACCGAATAGAGCCCAAAGAAAGTAAACTTTTGTGCAGGTGTATACTTGGAAAATTTCCCCCTTTTTCTGGTCTATTACATCCCAGTTCTTTAGTCTTCATAGAAGGGCAATGGCACATGAAAGATTCTGCAAAATTATCAGTAGAAGAATATCAGTCTACTCAAGTCTATCACATTTTGCCTAAAAGGTAATACAATGAGAATTTTACAAGGTTCTGGTGAGATTCTATGATTAAGCATTGTTGGGGTCTAGACAAACACACTGGAGACAGAGATCTGAAATGCAGATTCCAGCGTAAAGGTTATGGGTTTTTACACAAGAGATCTGAATCTCAGAAATGAGCCTACAGATTGAAGGCCAGTCACCATCTGACAACTAGCTGGGATGTCCCTGTTGTTTTACACAGAGAATCAAATAGAGCCAAACAATTTTATTCTAAAGAAATGTACATAGTATTTCTTCCAGATAATGGAGTAAGTAGAAACTGTATTAATATCACATAATAATTACTGCAAGAACAACATTTTCTTAACAGGATTATCCTGTCTCTTGATGGACCGATGCAAATGAGCACTTGTTCACTGTCTACTCCCAGAAGTTAACAAGGTACAGACTTTTGCAAAAGTCCATGCAGCGTTATGCTCTCGCTGTTGTAATTACAATTTCTCCTAACTCCAAGGGAAAGTACTTGCATATGCAATAAGAATATTTTATGAAAAACTATTCTATAGGTACAAAAAAGTGAGTTTTCACAAGATAAAATGTATGAGTGATAATCCATCAGAATTTTTTTTTCTACAGAAAGACAAAGCTTCAGATATCAAAATTAAAGACTTCAACTAGAGGAAAAATAAAGAGATAATGAATGCTAATAAATAAGAAATAAAATAAATTATTCCTCAAATTGTACAAGTGCCTAATTTTGGTATAGATATTACAAAGGCTATACATTCTTCATTTAATAATGCAGCAACTAAGTCACTTGAAAACTGAATATACTCTTTTTGAAATCCTCAAGTAAAACCATATTAGTATGAAAACCAACTCTGTTTCTGAAGTTGCAAAAGTCTTGGAGTTATTTAACTTCATGTCTGTAAACTAGCCACGAAATCCATCCCATTTCAAAACTACAAAATGTAAAATAGCTAACATGTTTATAATATTGGGATATGATCTAGCACCTGAAAGATACTGGGAAATTTATTTATTTACATGGGATTATTGGGATACTTACTTACTTGGGATAGTTTACTGGCAAATTTCAACAATTTGTAATACCCATATATATATAAAAAAATAAATCCTGTAAACAAAATTAATATACCTTTTTTCGTTAAATACTTCATGTTGTCTGAAATTACAGCACTTTTATCTTGTGAGTCCAAAAAGGAGAAAGTAGAGAAGTCTTCTGCATCAAATGGAACTGCAAAACGTGAAACACAACATGTTAGACTTAAAGGAAAATCATAACAACAGCCAATCTGAGAGAAGTAGTTACCAGATGTGGATCTGAAATGTATGTATCTTCTTTCTGCTCCAAGAACAGTGGGGTTTATACGTGAAACTACATTGTGCTGATCCATAAGAAAATCCATTGCATTCATATGATCATTTAACAAACCCTGTAAGAGAAAAGAAACTATAAAAGTACAAAATTCATTTAAGACAAAGATCAAGTATTTGTACAATCTTTCAACTGCGCTTAAGGGTTCTATATACACCAAATTATGGACAATGTCAAGTAAAAAAGTGTATAAATATCACATAGATAGCATTTCAAAATATCAGACAAATTTTTCAATTAACAACTCCAGTACATTCTCAGTTTCTGGTTGAAAAACTCCACGTGATTACTATATACTTAGTTGATCCTTCAGTCTTGTATAATCTAAATATACTGTTTCAAAACCATGACCACAAATTAATGTAACAATGTAATTTCGGTTGTCATACTATTAATTTCAAGCCAGCTCGTTATAAAAAATATATATAAACATGACTCAATCCACCGTCAAATATTTCATCTTGCTTTCATTCAGAAATGTTAAACATACCATGAACACCGCCCTCTGGAAGAATCTGGTGGCATCAATAATCCTCTGAAGAATAACTGTCTCTAACTCTGCAGCATCCATCTCCTCTCTGTTAAAGGGCACGCCATTAAATAGAGCTTGAGGCAATGGACCCAGGCCACTCTTTTTATAAAAGGTTGCTCCTGCCTGATCATATCAGAAATATCACAGGATTAAATAGACTGTGGCTGACTGTAGCAAAAAATGACACTAATATCAAGAGACAATGAACTCTAATCTCCAACCACTATTCACTGTCACACCTTCTCATGAGTAGCAGGGACAAAACAGAAAGTGTTTGGAAACCAAAGAGGACGAATGGGATTAATTTCTCAAATAGAATGACAAAAGAAATTACAGATCTCTATGTCGTGTTTTAAACTTTTGCTTTATCATCTTGCCAAAAAACATTTTATTTTGCTTAATATTCTTAGCAAAAAATATTAAGCAAATAACATCGGAGAAGGGCCTTGAGACAGTCATAGTCTGCGGTGGGTTGACCTACATCTTGTCCCTAAAGACAACATCCCCAAAACCCTCAAAAGGCTTTTATGTTCAGAAGCCAAGCCTTATTTGGTAAGACAGCAGAACAGGCTAATTTTTCCAAAGAGAGAAAATTCAGAGATAAATAGAAATAAAAATGTATTGTAAGTAATTCTCCCTTCCTATTCTGTGTCCTTTCATGTTTTCTTTCAGTCTCACTTTCTGGATGGCTACAAACTCTATGGCAGTATCTATGCATCCATCTTCCTGCCACCCCACTGTCTCCTCCTTCATCTTCACCGCAGCCTCATAGTCCCTGCTTGTACAGGGGGCTTCCTTTAAGTGTGTCTCTGTTTATTTTTCTTCCTTTAATATTCTCTGTGTGAACCTTTCCTCCTCTAAATGTATCCAGTTGTTTCCAGGGCAGATTCAAACTGCCCTTCTATGTGACTCGGTAAGGAACAAGCAGCATAAGGCAAACAGCACCCTTCTTTCTGGCTGCTAAGATGCATCTTTTAAAATGAATATAATATATGTTACATGACAAATTTTAAAATGAAATAAAATAAATGGCATGTGTCGGAAACACAAGTTTTTATAGATAACATGGCTGAAGAAACATGAAGGAAAACATT